ATCGCGCTGAGCCGACAAACAGCTGATCAGCTGTTTGTCAGCTCAGCGCGGCAGCCATGTAAATTTAAATGAAGCGGCGATTATTTAAATCGCCGCTTCATTTTACTATGTCTGGTAGCCTAATCTACATGCCTCTGGCGACAGAGGCATGTAGTCTAGACGTACCCTTAGTTTTCCAAGAATGTTCTTCCGTTTTCCTTACAAATAACCCCAAGTACATGTAAAAACCTATACATTAGATTTAAGTGGTAACACAAACTGTCCAAAATCAGGATGGTTGGAAATAAACTCCGTTCCCCATCGCGCTGCTGTAAATGTTATTAACACGTTTTAAACAATGTGAGTCTATCAGTGTTTTGCAATTACTTTTCTATTAATCCCTCTGGAACACAGGTAGAGGGATGCTGAGAACAGTAATTTAAAAATGCAGTGTCTCATGATGTCTTTATGAATGAGAGCACTGGCTTCTCTTCTTCCCCATTCCCTTTGGAAAGCACCAAGCTCTGGATTCAGCATTGTGTCACCTGCTCCATTGAAGCCAAAGGGATTACGCACATGCTTAGCGATAATCATGGGCTTTGCCAGAGCACCTTCTGCACCCTCAAGGCCATTCCCTCCCTTTGCACTCATGTAAGGGCTTGGCTCAGTCAGCATTTTGATGCCATCAGCAAACCATGCCAACTCATTCTTCAAATCATGAATAAAAATCTGAACATTGGTCCCATTACTATTGTCTGAGCCACTCCTTTCTATTAACCTCCTTGAGTCTGCTTCATTATCATTCTCTTTCCTTTTGCTTAAACAGCATTTAGTACACGAGACTTTGACCCTTGCCCTGTGACAATTATATTTTCCATAAGAGTCTTACAAAGAGCCTTATCAAAAGCTATAACTTTAGAATCCCTACCAGAGGCAAGATTTGCTTACAGCCGCAACGATGGTTTGACATTATCTTATAATTCTCCACGTGCGGCCCTAGTCTGTTTTCAATAAAACTCTCAGTCAGTTTGATCACAGCAAAAGAAGTCGTTAAGGGTGTGTGATTCCCAGTCTCCACGGGTTCCTTTTTTAAAAATGTAACAAAGAAAAACTACTTTTCTGTGTTAGCACCTTTGTATTTGCCTTTTACTTTCTGAAATGCCCTGAAATTCAGTGCACTTTTTAATGTCTTTGAAATAATATTCGAGATTCCCTGACAGAGCTGTTTATTTCTGCAAACCTATGCCTTTTACAGGAAAAAATCTCCACAATGGGGTGAAATCCATCACTCACTCAGGTCTCTTTGTGCCTTCTGGTGGCTTACAGTGGGAACCAAAACTGCCCAAACAATTGTTCCAGTGCAGGGCTGGCATGCATGGCCCTTCCTCAACCTATAATCTTTGGTGCAGAGAAGTGAATGGAAGCTTATTAGAAATGGAGGGGTTGGGGGAGAAGTGACCAGAAGCATCTTGCACTCCCATTACACTGGGCTGCAAGACATCCACTGGGTAGCTGGCAGGAAGGTTAATAAATTAGAGTAGCTCAGGGGCTGCTTTAATTTATGCCATAATTGTGCCCCCAGAACAGCCCAGCATTTGGGAAGCATGAAGGTTGCTAGAGACATGAGACACCTTGGCTTCTATCCCTTATTCTAAATTGCACTTTCTGTGCTGTGTCTCTGTACAGAGCATTCTACTGAACCCAAGAACCTGGCTTTATATCTTCAGGAACCACTGGGACAGGTGAGTAATGCAGGGAGAGCAGAGTGCTTGAGAACATCCATAACAAACCATTTACAATTATGTGTAATGGCATTCCCCTGCAGGGAAATCGGGGTGACAAACTGTTTTGGGATTTTAATTAATGATAATAATCCCAAGCTTGTCTTTAGCCCTTTTCAACCATAAATCTTAAAATGCTTTACCATGGAAGGAAGTATCATCATCCCCCAATACACAGACAGGAAAACTGAGGCACAGAGCGA